TGCGCAAACGACCCAGTTGCGCTGGGTCGTTTGCGCAACTAGCTCTTTTTAACTAGCTTCTTTAGTTGAAACCAAAATCATAAAGATTGGATGACTTAGAAGAAAGTTATGGTGAGTTGCGCAAACAGGATCCAGTTGCGCAAAAAAAATCGCGGAAATTAGTCTAGTCTAGAATTTCCCACCAAATCAGTTAAACGGCTGAATATCTTTCAGCCAATCAGCCATTGAACTTAACCAATCAGTACCGCACACTTTTCCTTCCATATCTCGACTTCCAGTTGAGCGATCAACTTGAGGTTGGTCTTAAAATGTTGCTTATGAAATTTGGCGCTAGAAATCGACAACCTCTTTAGTGACTTTAAGATATAAATATGGAGAAAATCTCGGTCAAAGTTGGACTAAATTCCTTTCAACAGGAATTCATAGGGGTATCGTCAGGATATGGTGAAAAGTCTCAGGAAACCCCCAATTCTAAGTGCAAATTCGGATTCTACATAAAATTTGGACCTAGAAAAAGTACTTTATACTATAATAAGTAAAGGTTTGTTCAGATTCTAGGCTAAATGCTAATATTGCTCAGTCCAGAGATATAGGACTGAATATCTTTCAGCCAATCAGCCATTCAACTTAACCAATCAGCCATTCAACTTAACCAATCAGCCATTGAACTTAAACCTGTCAAAGTGCTATAAAGGTTTTCGCCCTACCGTTTTCCCTACTGTTTAAAAATCGTTTATTTCCGTTTATTTCAAATTTCTTTTCTTTATGAAATTTGATTTTTTTTAATCATAAATTTTTTTATCACGATTATCACAAATCTAAAACTTTCAACTTTCATAAAACTTCAATTTTATTTTATTTTATAAACGATTTCAATTTTACAAATGATTTCAATGATTCAAATGAAAAATTAAATCGAAATTCTCAGATTTTTCTCTTAAAATTTCCCCGAAACTCTAATAATTTTGTGATTTTAAATTTAAAATTTCCCGAATTTTCGCACTTTCGCACGTTTTTTGTCTTCAGATGGGAAAAAATGACATTTCCAAACGGGAGAAACGAGTTTTTTGTGTGTGTGTGTGGGTGGGTGTGCAAATTTCAGAATTCAGAAGTCGATTTATTGTTGTCATTGTTTTCTTTCTTGTTAGCTTTTTTTTCTGGCTAATGGTCTTGATTTTTTGAGGGTTCTTTGTGCCCAAAAATCCCTCTAAGCACAACCCTGCTGGTGCACTGTTCACTGGTGCAAAGTTGTGCGTTTTTTCTCGCTCGCTCGAAAGAAAAAAGCGGCATCTGGCCAGCCAGTTCGCCAGCCAGTTCGCCAGCCAGTTCGCTAGCCAGTTCGCTAGCCAGTTCGCCAGCCAGTTCGCTAGCCAGTTCGCTAGCCAGTTCGCCAGCCAGTTCGCTAGCCAGTTCGCTAGCCAGTTCGCTAGCCAGTTCGCCAGCCAGTTCGCTAGCCAGTTCGCTAGCCAGTTCGCCAGCCAGTTCGCTAGCCAGTTCGCCAGCCAGTTCGCTAGCCAGTTCGCTAGCCAGTTCGCCAGCCAATAACCCACCAGTCAGTTCGATTACGCAAATTTTTCATCAAGCTCGAAACACGCCTTGTCTGGCGCTCTGAATTGCTCATTTTTCTCATAAAAACGCCGCATTTTACTGTTCGTCCACTAGAAAGGGTGTGTTTAGGTATTTCTCAGCACAAAGTACATCTTTGTTTTGAATTTGACAATGGATTTCCAGCCGTAAACGCACACTATCTTGTATACGACTGAAAATTCAGTTTTAAACGATTTCGCACACCAGAAATGAGTTATTTTGAGAAAACTGAAGACGTTCAGCGCGCCAGGGAAAGTGCATTTAGCCATTTTTGAGCATAAAGGACACCCAAGTATTGAAATCAGTGCTTTTTGAAATTTGGGAACGATTTGAGGGTAATCCAAGAACTTTAAACTCTTTATTTCTTTTCTATAAGATTCTTCAATCATTTATTTGTTATTATATCAATAATGTAGTCTGAAATGGAGCAAATCTCAAAAAGATATTGATGAATTTGGCGGCATAGAAATGTTCTTTGTGTGCGCGCGCAATCGCCCTCCATCTGGCATCCCGGTCTAGGGTAAGGGGCTTTGCTTTTCGCAACGACATCTCTGAAGCCACTGCTCTGAAGCCACTGCTCTGAAGCCACTGCTCCGAAGCCACTGCTCCGAAGCCACTGCTCCGAAGCCACTGCTCCGTAGCCACCGCTCCGTAGCCACCGCTCCGTAGCCACTGCTCCGTAGCCACTGCTCCGTAGCCACTGCTCCGTAGCCACTGCTCCGTAGCCACTGCTCCGTAGCCACTGCTCCGTAGCCACTGCTCCGTAGCCACTGCTCCGTAGCCACTGCTCCGTAGCCACTGCTCCGTAGCCACTGCTCCGTAGCCACTGCTCCGTAGCCACTGCTCCGTAGCCACTGCTCAGCCACTGCTCCGTAGCCACTGCTCCGTAGCCACTGCTCCGTAGCCACTGCTCCGTAGCCACTGCTCCGTAGCCACTGCTCCGTAGCCACTGCTCCGAGCCACTGCTCCGTAGCCACTGCTCCGTAGCCACTGCTCCGTAGCCACTGCCCGTAGCCACTGCTCCGTAGCCACTGCTCCGTAGCCACTGCTCCGTAGCCACTGCTCCGTAGCCACTGCTCCGTAGCCACTGCTCCGTAGCCACTCATCCAACTTCCCTGTTTTGGGTGTCACTATACCCAAAACTATGACCAATCCTGGATCTCCCAACTCTTCATCTCTTTTCTATAAGATTCCCTGAATTTTCTTCAAACCCAAATCTCTCCCCTTCCCTAACTGTTTCTATAAATTCTTTGCTTGTTTTCATTCCAAACTTTCCCCTTCAAATTCCAGATCTTTTTTATGTGAGAATCGATATATTCAAAAGAAGAACGCTCAAATGTCAAAACTGTGAATAAACCGAAACAGTTTCTCAACCCATTTCCCTATTTCTTTGCCTAATTCTTGAACAATGAGCTCATCAACATCTCATCGACAACCCATCGACTTCTCCTACTCATTGGTGGTAAATGGGCTTTGATTTATTGAAGCTATTTAGCAACAAGTGATACAGTTAGCCATGCCAACTGTTATGATTGTAATTAGCAAAACTTTCAGTCAAAAAGAAAGAGTTCTAGAAGCTTTTTAGTTCTAGAAGCTTTTTTAGCATCTCTGGAATTTATATCATCTCTGTCATTACTTATCAGCCCTTTATCCAGCCTCCAGCAGCTCTTATCAAAGCGCAAAGCCTTGCTAGCTATCAAACTTGAGTCCTTATCATTCCAAAGTCTAAATTTTCTATAAAAAGGCTAAAGACTAGATCCTAAAAGTTAAAGCTAGGGCAGTTTTAGAGAGGCCTTGATAAAAGATTCAATTAGGATTCAAGGTTTGACAAAGATTTTGAAGGTTGATAGCTTGATAGCTTTGAAGCTTGATAGCCTTGAAGCTTGATAGCTTTGAAGGTTGATAGCTTTGGAGCTTTGTAGCTCTGTAGCTTGATAGCTTTGAAGCTTGGTAGCTTTGCTTGATAGCTTTGAAGCTTGATAGCTTGATAGCTTGGTAGCTTGGTAGCTTGGTAGCTTTGAAGTTTGGTAGCTTTGCTTGATAGCTTTGAAGCTTGATAGCTTGATAGCTTTGGAGCTTGATAGCTTGGTAGCTTGATAGCTTGGTAGCTTTGAAGCTTGGTAGCTTGCTAGTTCTAGCCTAGATAACTAGCCACTTGCTCTAATCTACAACCAAATCTTTAATCAACAAGCCACTTTCTCAAATTTGCAGCCTGAGGCAGGGTTTAACAATATCTGAAAAAGTTGAACTCTTGTTCATTAGTTCAAAGTTCAAACAAGAACTTGCAAAGGTTTAGAAGAACTTTTGCAATGTAACTCCTCTATTAGATCCTCTTGCATGATTGATTTTGCCAAAAGAAACAAATCGCATTTACATGCCTAAGGAGATCTCTTAGTCCAACATTGTAACATCTTTTTATAAGTTTTTTAAATTTCAAATTTTCAAACAGACTTTTACAGACTTTTCCCTTTCAATTCCCTCTTTTTTATGCTAATCTCTCACGGTTTTAAAGGTGATTGAGGCTTAATTGATCTTTTTTTTTGTGTAAGCGTTTTCCCAGTCTCTTTAATGATTGAAAAAGAAAAAGAGCTGTTTGGGTGGTCTTTTGAATGTTTTTGTCTATTCAGGGAATTCAAATAAGAGCATTAAAAGGTTTTTAAGATCAGGTTCAGACTCTTAAAGGCTTTAAAGACTTTTAGAGACTCTTAAAGACTCTTAAAGACCTTTAAATAACTTTAAATACCTTTAAAAACCTTTAAATACCTTTAAGAACCTTTAAGAACCTTTAAAACCCTTTAAAAACCTTTAAAAACCTTTAAAAACCTTTAAAAAGCTTTAAAAACCTTTAAAAAGCTTTAAAACCCTTTAAAACCTTTAAAAACCTTTAAAACCCTTTAAAACCCTTTAAAAACCTTTATAAACCTTTATAAACCTTTAAAACCCTTTAAAGACCTTTAAAAACCTTTAAAAACCTTTAAAAAGCTTTAAAAAGCTTTACAAATCTTTAAAAAGCTTTAAAACCCTTTAAAAACCTTTAAAAACCTTTAAAAACCTTTAAAACCCTTTAAAGACCTTTTAAACCCTTTAAAGACCTTTTAAAACCTTTAACTACCTTTAAAAACCTTTAAATACCTTTAAATACCTTTAAAGTCCTTTAAAAACTCAAAACTGGTTTTCTATTAGCTATTCGCTTAGCTTTCTACGTTTTGAGAGAGGCTATGAGTTTTTTAAAGCATTAGAAATCAGTCAAGTGTTACTAGGTAAAGTAATAGTAGTAGATTAACACTTTTAATAGTAATTGTTTTAATTTTTAAATGATTGAGTCTTTTAATCCTTCAGTTAAGCTCAAAAAACGGACTTGGTAGAAATTAGACTTCAGTTTGAACTTTTCATTGCCCAAATTTTCTATTCAGATGGCTTCATGGGGTGTCTCGATGTGCACAGTGCTGGGCATTCTCTCATTGATTCTAAACCTCTTTGTCATCACTTCTCTAATCAGATATCGGCGACGAGTGCTGAAAAATGTTTTCTACGTGATTGGTTGGTTCAGCATCTATAATACTATAGATACAGTGTTTCCCAAAAGTTTTGGCGCAACCAAGCTACCAAATGGCAGCTACCAAATGGCAGCTACCAAATGGCAGCTACCAAATGGCAGCTACCAAATGGCAGCTACCAAATGGCAGCTACCAAATGGCAGCTACCAAATGGCAGCTACCAAATGGCAGCTACCAAATGGCAGCTACCAATGGCTACCAATGGCTACCAATGGCTACCAATGGCTACCAATGGCTACCAATGGAAGCTAGCAAGTGTTAAATAGAGTTTATAGAGAAGCTTGGCTACATTTGGATGCTAAAAGCTTTCAAATTCGAGCGTACAAGACCGAGTAGTGCTCATTCAAAAGCTTGTCACAAGAGTTTTGTGACTCCAAATCGAAAGCTTTTTGCATTCAAATGTAGCCAAGCTTCTGGGCTTTAAATCTTTATATAAAACTTATCACTTTTCAAATAAGTTAGAGATTTACTAGCTGCCATTTGCTAGCTGCTTTTACAGCTATTTGCAAGCTGTTAAGTTGTGCGAAAACCAGAAAACCCTGTAAAAGAGCAGCTAGAGCAACTAGCTTTTTCTAAGCCATCTTTAAGCCATCTTTAAGCCTCAGCCGAATTTCTTTTAAACAATAAGATAGTTGTAGCATTTAATCTAAAAAATGAAAAAAGTCGAGTGGAGTGGCAGTGCAAGGGTTCGAACCCGGACCCTGTGGGTTCTAGACCACCGCGCTAACGACTGCTCCACGATGTTAATGGAGAGCATGCTGGAAAAACGGGTTTTTCAATGCAATCCCTTACTTCAGTCCTTCATTGTGCTCTTCTGGATGTGATTCGTGGCGCGTGTCTCATCGTGAAGGGTTTCCCGTTCTTAATCTCCGTTTATGTGTCTTTCGAAAACAAGATCACCCTAATGAAGGTAATTTTTTCGCTCTAAATTCTTCTGCAAATCATTTCACTATTGTAAAATCGTTTTAGGCAACGCGTTACATCACTTTCATCATGCGCTCTTGCAATCTCGTCACAATCTTTAATTTAGTCATTTTCACCACAAATGAATTCGTCGTCGTGCGCTATCCGCTGCATTATAAGCGGCAAGTGAAAGCCGAATCTAAATAGCTTTAAAAAAAAACACAATCACTTTCGCACAATCAAGCAAAACATCAAGCAATCAAAGCAATCAAAGCAATCAAAGCAATCAAGCAATCAAAGCAATCAAATCATTGTTCTACTCAAATATTTCAGCTATTTTCGTCGAAGAACCGTGCTTCTATTGATCACGATATGGTGAAAATCAAAGCTCATCTTTTTAAAAAAACAAATTTCCAGTTGGTGTATCTCAATTTTCTTTGGCATTGCCTCAGCGGTTTCCTCTCCACTCACCAATGAATATCAATTTTTACAAGGTTTCCTTTTTGGATTTAAACTTTAAAAACAATTCGAAAGTTTTATCGTTATTGCCAAGTTATGATTGATCTTTAATTATGCAAATTAATCTTTAACTATTCAAATTGATCTTTAACTACTTTATCATTGACTTTTAGCATCTTTTATCCTAGTTTTGATATAGTTTTGAATATATTTAAGCTAAAATCTACTATATATAAAAGCAGTGGCTGTCTGTCTGTTTGTCTGTCTGTTTGTTCATCTGTTTGTCTGTTTGTATGTCTGTTGGTTCATCTGTTTGTCTGTTTGTCTGTCTGTCTGTTTGTTCATCTGTTTGTCTGTTTGTCTGTTTGTCTGTCTGTTTGTTCATCTGTTTGTCTGTTTGTCTGTCTGTTGGTTCATCTGTTTGTCTGTTTGTCTGTCTGTTTGTTCATCTGTTTGTCTGTTTGTCTGTCTGTTGGTTCATCTGTTTGTCTGTTTGTCTGTCTGTTTGTTCATCTGTTTGTCTGTTTGTTCATCTGTTTGTCTGTTTGTCTGTCTGTCTGTCTGTTTGTCTGTTTGTCTGTCTGTACAAGCATTTTCTCAACCGTTTTTTTGACTAATAAAGCTAAAACATTTTTAGAAAACCTTAGAATATCTTGTAGTTATAGGATTTAAAAGAATTCTTTAAAAAACAAATTTAAATGAAAGATCCGGGAGTTGAACCGGGTGATGTGAGCTGTAGAGAAGCGCGCTCGCGACTGCGCCATAACGACTCGTCACCCAGCCAGAAAAAACCGCTTTTAAGCGGGTTTTTCCAGTTAAGAAGCCTAATAAAGTCGATACGATTCTATCCTAATTTTTACAAATCTAGAGGTACACCGGGGAAATTTACATCTTTCTTTTTTGGCTGAAAGGACAGATACGGAAGTGTCGCATAACATAACCTTTTCAGGTATCAAAGTGTCGACAGTCGCTCAAATCACGATCTTCTTCCTGTGCTATTTGTGTCTTTTTGTCGTGCTGGTGAGCTTCAGCAAGTTATTGTTTGGAAATATAGTGCTAGAGCTGTCTAATTACTAATTAATTACTGCAATAGTAGAGCTTTCCCCATTACCCCGAATTTCAAGATTTGTTACGCAAAGATCCTGCGCACGATTCGCGAATTTCATGGCTTCGATGATCGCCAACGGAGATTCGGTTCCGCTAATGGGAAACGCATTTTTGGGTATTGAGAATGAGCAATTTTATAAAATTTTCCCAATTTTTAGAAGCACTCAACTGAAAGAACAAATCTCCATTCAAAACAGTCAAGCGATAAGCCTGCATTCGGAAGATCCAAGCAAGAAGTGGCTTTTGATATTTAACCTAAAATCTAGTTAGATAAGAAGCTAGATAATCTAGCTAGCCAGGCAATAAAGTAAAGGAATGGCAAAGAAAGATTTCCGGAGAGGGGATTGAACCCTTGACCTTTTGCTTTCCATTGCTATATTGCTCTAACCACTGAGCTATCCAGTACCTTAAACTGCCAAGAGAAAAAGGGAAAGATAGGGGAAGAGAAAGGAAGGAAGAAAGAAGAAAGAAGAAAGAAGAAAGAAGAAAGAAGAAGGGAAGAAAGAAAGAAAGAAAGAAAGAAGGAAAGAAAAAAGAAAAGGCATGGTTAAGACCCAGCTAGAAGCCAGGCCCTAGAACTTTTCGTTGGCTAGGCAAGGCTAGAACCAGGCCAGAATTGTGTAAGGCTAGAATCAGGTCAGAGTTGTGCAAGGCTAGAATCAGGCCAGAATTGTGCAAGGCTCGAATCAGGCCAGAATTCTGGCCTAGGCTATAAGTCAGGCCTAGGCCTGGCTACTGAGGACTTTAAGACCTGTGAGTCAGGCCAGGCTCTATAAGACCTTACTTCTAGTCTAGTTAGGCTAGGAACCAAGTCTAGGCCTGACCACTGAGTTTATGACTTTTTGTGAACCACTTTTCTGACTTCTCACCTGGTATTGAGCTAATTTTTGTTCAAACTTCACAATTTCTGTTTTCTGTTTTGTGCCGAATTGAAGCGGCTTGTTTCATAGGTAACTTTACTGGATCAGCCAGGTCAGCCAGATCAATCAAGACTCGATGCAGGGTTTGCTCTAGGCCAAGGCCAAGGACTTGAGGCTGTATGCTCGGAAAATCTTTGTTCTCGGAAAATTCTTGCGGGGAATTCGCTGAAACGAAAATTCGGAATTTGGAGGCGAAAAATCCCCCAGAAAGGTTTACCGGAAGATTTCTGTGGAAAGATTTTCGGATTCCATAGGAAAAGAACGTTCCACGGGAATAAAATGCACAATTTTCCCGTTTTTCGGAGAATTTTTCCCCAAATGTTTCTCGCGGGGAATTTTCCGGAAACAAAGCATACGAGCTCTGGTTTCTAGCCTGGTTTAAAGGCTGGATGATTTCTCGAATCCGAGAGTAGCTCATTTTCCGGAAACAAAGGATACGAGCTCTGGTTTCTAGGCTTGTTTAAAGGTTGGATGACTTCTAGAATCCGAGAGTAGCTCATTTTCCGGAAACAGAGCATACGAGCTCTGGTTTCTAGGCTTGTTTAAAGGCTGGATGATTTCTAGAATCCGAGAGTAGCTCATTTTCCGGAAACAAGGATACGAGCTCTGGTTTCTAGGCTTGTTTAAAGGTTGGATGACTTCTAGAATCCGAGAGTAGCTCATTTTCCGGAAACAAAGCATACGAGCTCTGGTTTCTAGGCTTGTTTAAAGGCTGGTTTAAAGGCTGGATGATTTCTCGAATCCGAGAGTAGCTCATTTTCCAGAAGAGCGGACTCTGGCCGTAAAAAGATGCACCAAATCTCGCGACACAAATATCTGATCGTGATCGGCTCGGTGCTATTCGTTGACGTGCTCTTTCTATTTCCATATTCGGGTGAGCTGAATGCTTAAAAGTTTGAGTTTAATCGAAAAAAATTCAGGCATTCAACTGGTTTCCTTTTTACATCGCGAGGGTATTGTTGGGCTGAGCGTCTACTCGAGTTCGACAACATGGTTATTACAGGTGGATTTAGGCTAAAAAGTACTGTGAACAGTGTCTACAGTTTTCTACAGTCTAAGCTCAGTCTAAGCGGCTATCAAAATTGCATCAGTTTCTAATCGGCATTCACGGTCAACTTCAGGTTCTAATCGGTATTCACGCGGTTTGCCAGCCGTTGTGCTATTTCCGAATGACCGAGTTCAGGAGGTGAGTGCTCTTTCTGGCGCACCAGAAAGTCGAGTTTTCTGGCGCACCAAAGTCGACGTTTTTCTGTACTCTGTGCTCTAAAACGCATCCTTTCTGATCGACTAAATCGTCTTCAGATTGGTCTGCTGCAATCCAAAGAGCACTTTCTCGCGAAGTAAATCGATCAGTCAACACAAATCATTCGGTGAGTTGAAGAGGAAATCAAAAGCAACCCATTTTTAGCGAACACAAAAAGTAGAGAAATCGACGATCCGGAAAAAGAGGCATTGAGGGGATCCGAGAAGAATCAGTCACCAAATCATACGGTAGTGGATTCGATTTGAACTCGTCTAGTCACTTTAAAGTATGACTCGGATAGCGTAACCCGCTAGCTCAGTTATCTAAAAGATCAAACCAATCAGGTCAAGCCAATCAGATCAGGCTACGGTAGCCTGGACATGCTTTAGGACTACTGTCAGAGCCAGCGCTTGGGCAAGTTCATTACCGAATCACTTCAGGGCACAAAGTATGGTCCCCGTCTCTCGCGCAGCAACGATTCGATGGTTCCGTTGCGCGCGAACCAACTTCACGCAAATGTAAGTGGGAATTGAAATTTACTAGACTCACAGGACCATGGTCCGATTGAAAACTAAAACTTGTCTAACTCAGACATTGAATTCAAAGCTTATGTCAAGATTTCAGTGCTTCAATCACTCGCAAGAGACAAGCATCTCCTCAGAATTGAAAGCAAAATCTTTCGACTCTCAATTGGAATCTCCTCCACTTTCATGCTCACCGTCTGATCTTCAGAATTCTCGGGAAATCTATGTAAATCCCGAGGAACAATCGCATTGTTGATACTTTCATATAGAGATTGTAAATAAATGTATAAATTTATTCATAACAATCGAAAGATCAACAATGAAAACTGACGAACACCTATAACTATCTAAACATGAGCAATGAAAGATGATAAACTATAAAGACACTATAAAACACACCCCATCAACATCCAAGAATATCGTTGAGAGAAACTTTCGACGGCTTCGACGCACATTTGATCGGTGAAAAAGACGGCGGACTTGTTCCTATAGTGAAGAATTGGTTGATATTTCAATTTATTTCTATTCAATTTGTTTGTTTGTATATATTTGTATGTTTGTATGTTTGTATGTTTGTATGCTTGTATGCTTGTATGCGTGTATGCGTGTATGCTTGTATGCTTGTATGCTTGTATGTTTGTATGTTTGTATGTTTGTATGTTTGTATGTTTGTATGTTTGTATTTCGGTTACAGTAAAACCAAGCTTTAAACTACCGGAGGAACTTTAAAGAAATCAGTTTAAAGGATTAGTCTCACTAGGAATTGTTTCTAAAGAGTTTCCAAAAGTGGTCAAAATCCAACCTGCAATCATGAGCGGGCGCTTTCGCGGAATGATCGGCCTCCTCTTGTTTTGCAAGAAATTGACGATCCCTGGATAGAGCCATCTCTTCAGCGGCTCGCTGTCTCTAAAAACACAAATGTGCTTGTTTTTTTGATAAGTCTAACACCATTTATCATAATTTATGGCAAGCTTGTAAAATTCTCTATTCATCTCATCATAAAAGCTACTTGTTCCTCTGGCAACAGCTCGAGTTGCGTGCTCCATTTAATGATATCGCATTCGAGTTTCTTCTTGGCGAATCCTTGGCCCATTCCTTGTTCCAATTGATATTTCGTGAGCAAGATTGCGCGAGTCAAAGCACACGCATGAAGATTTGGACCAATCTAAATCAAAACCGTTGCAACTCTTTCGTTTACTTGAGTACAAAGCTATACAAAGTTGTAAGCCTGCAGTTATTACGTCATTCAAAACTTTAGTAGATTAAAAACTCACCGCTTCTCGCCATTTTGTGAAGTTGAGCCAAAGATCGGGCAAAAATGGCGACACGGTCACTAGAAGAATCGAACATTGAAGAAATCGCTGTGATGAAGTCGAGAATCGAAGACAGATTTTCTAAAAATAACACAAAAAGCTAGAAATTACTCTTATTTCAGTACCATTTCAGAGTCCCACAATTGAAGCTGATCCCCGGGGATGGTGACAATCGATTGGAATTCGGTGAAAAGCGCATCGATGAGCTCCTTTGATGTGTCTGGATCCTAAAAATTAGACAAGTGAACGATAAAAATTTCCTTATTTCTTAAAAACAGTTTTTGGATGATATTTCCATTATTTAATTCCCTAAAAGTAACCTTTAAAGCGACCCGAAGCAGCGAGTCAATCACTTGGACCAGGAAAAAACCCTTGTGGTGACAATTCTTGCGCCATTCTTGAATAGCCTGTAAAGGATTTACGAATTAAATCACACAATCAACCAGAAAAACCTCAAAAGCAGCTGGATAATCCCTGTTCCGGAGATAATACATCGCACGAAAGTAGTCAAGTTCCCTAAAAACTTTCATTTTCGTACTCAAAATAGCGCAAACCTCGGGTCAGATGTAAATTTCTCAGCCCCATCTTTGAAGAACCATCCATCGTCGTGAATTGAGGCTTGATACTCTTCAGGAAGACACCATTTGTTGACCTGAAACCAGAATTGTTTTACAGTTTAAAGTTTACAAAACAAGAGTTTAAACAAGAATTAAATTTAAGTATCTAACAAAACCCTAAAACTCGCTTAAACTCCCACCTTTTGCTCGGGCTCATCAATTTCAAAGTTGGCAAAAGCATCGTCAAGACTCATTGTGTTGTGGTTGTTGTAGTTGATGATAAGGTGTGTAGGGACAAAATTGAATTATTGCTTCTTCGGAAGGGCTTGAATTTGGGCTAAAAATTCGTCTTCCGCTCGCTTCTTCTCGTGGAAATTCTTTGTCATACACGTCCGAAAGGCACCGAGCTGAAAAAAGAAAGATTTTTTTGATTCAAAGATAATTCGAGAGTAATTGTTCATATTAGCCTAAGCCAGTACAACTTTAGATTTAAAACTGGTTTATAAATCTGGAGCTATCAGGAAATCTAGACAAAAACAAGGAAATAACGTGTTTTCGTGGCCTTCTGCTTACGTGCTTTGATTTTCAGTTAAAGAATTTTGGTTTTTTAGTTACTGATTTAATGCCGGTTACCGCGGTGGGGTTCGACCGATTTTCTCGATTTAAACTTCGATCACCCGATTTTCTTTTTGTTTTCTCTGATCCGGCACTCATCCTTTGGGCTGAACGAATTCAATAACGGAAATAAAAAAGAAATGGAGTCGGCGAAGGTCAAAGGTCTGAGGATGACGTCATTTGATTGAGAGAGGGTGATGGGGAAATCGGCGAAAAACGCGAAAAAGTGACTAGGGGGTGGGCCGGTTTAAGCGGTATCCATTCAAACCAAAAACGAAAGTACAGATCCTCGAACTCGCGAGGGAGTCTCTGGGAGTGATGAGTGGCCTTGACGTCACTCAAGAGCTGGGCGGCTCTCCCCGTACAGAGTGCCTCGAAAATCCGTCGAAAATGTAGGTGCACTCTTTATCGCTGGGTACGATTTGAATATTTTAAACTTGTTTACAAAGCCGTTGTTTTAATTTTGGTTGCCGGTGCAGCCTTGAATGAGTTTAAGAGGCTGACTCTCTAAGGTACATAAAGTCAGCAGGTCCCAAATTGATTAGAATATCTTTCTTCTGGAGCACACTAGAGATTTTCTTTGTTTTCCAGGCGCTTTAATCATTTTAGAATTTTAGGTAGCTACCGAAATCACCAACGATAGCTCGCGTGTGGAAACCCTCTCTTATTGACGAGAAAGGAGAGTTGGCAGAAAATCAGGTGTAATCAATTAAGTAATCAGTTGGTTAGCTTAAAGAAATTTTAGCCAGGAAACCAAATATTTTTCCCGAAAATTTTAGTGTTCTTTGTACATAATGGAATGCACAATCACTTTCAATCTGGTACATAGAAAGCCAGAAGCTAATCTTTAACTTGCCATCGCTGTTCATTAGTTCAGTAGTAAAAATCAGACCAAAGTCTGAGGCAGGGATCAGAACCTTCCAGGTCTCACTTTAAACGAGCTCCACCGGCCACAGTTGTACGAGGCCACTCAGTTAGAGACCGTTAGGAAACATAGCCGGAATAGCCAATGGCCCGAAATGCCGACATTTCCCGAACCTTAACAAAACTTTAAAAGCTTAAAACTCTCGACAGATTATCATTCACCAAAAACAGAATATATGATTCGGAATCAGCGTGAGAATTCTGCGTTATTTAGTATGGTCCGGTAACTTACATTTGGCCGGAGTTACAATATCAGCCGATAAAGGCTTTAGAATGGCAGCGGCTTCTGATTCAAAGCTAATGCTCTTAATTTCCAGCTCCACACATCCATTTCTCCGCATCACCCTTCTCATCACCGCGTTATTCTTCACATCATTGATTTCCCTACAAATTCTCTCTTCCACGCCATCACGTCGCACAAATCGTACTCACGATTTCGGAATGTGAGTTCTGAATTCTGAATTCTCACTCATCTAAGCCCAAAGCGTGCGCTCCAATTCGCCCACATTTAAACCCTCAGCTTTAGGGAGGAACTCAGCTCCAAGCCATTTGCGAGATCACCTCGACGAGCTCGAAACGCTCTGGCGCGGTAATGAGTTCCTAGGAAATAAGGTAGCTAAAATTCAATTCAAATTTCAGTGCTCTACGATTTCCCAAATGCTATTTTCAGGACCCAGCCGAGTACACGGTCTCTTGCGCCTATCTCGAACTTGATGGCGATCACCGAACGCAAATGTGTCTCATTCATCAAAGGTGATCATTTTTGAAAATCTTAAACGGCAAATGATTCTGTGACATCCAGAATTCTTAATTCACCGTTTGAAACATTCAATTCACTATAGAAACAGTACCAAATTAAGCTCATCAGAATGGTGTAGTTGGTATTCGCAATTTTGCAGATCACTCTCGAAAAGCATTCGCATTGGTTCCGTGCTTTCCAAAACTTTCATTTTCAAAACGAGTCACATATTTTACAGAAAATCAAGTACCAACATTATTGTGTGCTACGGGAGAAGTTGAAGGGCGTGAAATTCTGTTGTTGTACGGTGCCCGGTTGCAATGCTCTGAGATGCTCATTCGGCCGGATTTATGAGAGAAATCATTGTTTTTTTTTCACATTCTCAGATCTCTGTGTACAATTTTTGTTAAGCTAGAACCAAATAATTTTGAAATAAACTGAAACGGGTTCAGCTCTGTCCGTTTCTTCAAAAGCAGTCAAACTTTAAACTCCACAAAGCATCAACATTTGATATTTGATTCGTTGAAACGGACTGTAGCGTATCTGTAAAAGCTCGCTAAATACAGAATTTATCACCTCGAAACTCAACCAACTATTCATATCGATAACAAAGAGAAAAATGGGGGAAATGGAAAAGAACTAAACTAAAATGCGGGAATTCCTAAAAACACGCAAAATAGACTAGGAATGTCTGCACAGATTGAACACAAATCAAATGCGGAAATCTAACAATGAATCAAAGCACAGATTAATACACAAAATCCCATCGGAAAATTCGATTTTCTAAATTTCCAAGGCTTAACGATACAGGGCTTAACGATTATTAATTGATCAAAGTTAGTGCAAAATAGGAAATCGATTACGGTAGAAAGTACGCTGGGGTAACGTCTGTTCGGCAGAATTGCTGATTTCTATTTTGCGCTAACTTTGGCCGGTAAGCAAAACTAATCAAATACAATGCACAAATGATAAAAGTGTCCAGTGGGGTCCAATCGACGGTAAAACAAACAGATAGTAAATAGAAGCGAACCGTAACGTACACGTAAAGCCGATCTCGTGTCATTTTCGATTAAATACAGTACGATGATCATCAAAAAGACCAAAAGTCAGTGTTTCAGGAAAATTTTATAAAAGAATCTTCTAAAAGCCGGTAAAAGTAAGGCCCGTAAAGTGGTCAGCAAAGAAAAAAAAACAACAAGTGAATCAGTAAAAAAGGAACAAGTAGATAGATTTCTTCAGGGGAAAACCACAAAATCAACATTTTCACCCCATAAATGGAAGATTCTGGAAAGGGAAAATGAGCATTCCGGATAATATTTAAACGATGGAGCAATTTTTTTTGAGGCAAAACAGAAACAAAAGACAGGCACGAAGAAAATTTGGGAACAATAACAGATATACGATTACAGCGAAGCTAAACTAACAACAAAACAATTCTACTTGCCGATTGAGCGATTGTCGGAGCCTCCCCACTTCATTTCTTGACACTTTTCCCTTATCTTCTCTAGCTCTTTCCGTTCCGTCTCGTACTTGACCAGTATCTCGTCCTGCATCGAGGTCACCTGAAAGCAAAAAAAATGTGTTAATGCTTAATAACAATTTCTAAAGCCTTAAATCATAATTTTCAGCCAATTAATGTCAAAAGTCGCATGCTTTACAAAGTCATTTAGCCATACACTCTGTTAGATGATTAGTTGCTTAAAAATTCTCATTGCTTTACTTTTTCTCCTTTGGAATTTGGATCCAGACTTAAAAGAGACTAAAAAATTCGACATTACATATGAAACTTAAATCCCCGTACCTCATCTTGTCTCCAATGTGCAAACGAGCTGTGGGTGAGCGGCTTGGCGAATGGAGCGTACAATTTCTCACCGCCAACCGTCAATGTGTCCGGCATTCGAGTGATACACCTAAAGCAAAATACGTGATAATCAATGCAATTCAATCCAGTAAAATACAAGGATGTTCGACTTCAAATTCTCACCTTCTAGCTAATGGTGGTGGAAACAGGAAGTCGACCGTATCAGTGGCCATCGATAAATACGTTGAGACAAGTCCCTTCGAGTCCGCTCTTCGCACTTTTCCGCTCGGGTCGATGATGAGAATTCGCGAGATCGGGATGTCCACAGCACGATAGGAGACCGTGTCCTAAAAGGAAACAAGTTACTAAATTTGAAATAATTAACGACCGAAGCTGTTGTTAAGAAAATAGAAGAAATAAGTGTGTAGAAGTAAATTGTTGAAAGCTCCCTACCGTTTCTCGATTCCCGAAGCCAGAGAAGAATGGATGTTTGACGGGGAAGAGTTTTCTCAAGTCGCTCAACGCCGCAATCTTGAACTCCTCGGGTCGACGCTCAATCACTTCCCTAAATAGAATGATTTATATTTGAATGAAAGCTCACGATCACTTGCAAGTACTTTCAAATGGCTAAAGAGCTAATAGGGAAATTCTATATTCACCTTCTGAAAGCGACAAGCACCGATGTGGGTGAGAGCAGGACGGGGCCATCAGGAAGAACTTGCTGCTCCTGGGCGACACTCTTCAGGTATTGTTTCGTCGTGTGCGACTGACCGATTGCTCGCGATGACAAGTAGACAATCTTGTAACTGCAAAGAGGAATTGGATTAGTAAAGGCATTGATAAACTCACCCATTATCCTTGATTCTCGAGTAAAGTTCGGCCACCCCAGTATGCGCCTAAATTTTATCGTAAAACAATATAATAACCACAAATACAACAACTGCGACACATGCACAACAATCAACAAATCAAAGTCAAGTGATGGTTGTGCATGTGTCCTGATATGTAAAACTTACCCATTGACCACCGATTGCTGGAATCACATGTCCAGGTACATCACTGAAAATAGGCCAATTAATCCCCAAAAATGAATCACCAAGGTTACCTTTTCGTAATCGTTCCATCAATGTCCGAGATGACGATCTTCTCGTACCATTTGTAGAGGTAGACATTGCAACTGCACCATGTAGTTCCCCTAAAAAAAAGCTCTTATACTTTAACCTCAATTCGCCAAATAATTTTTCTTCGGCTGTAGTTTTACCTGAAATTTCGTGGTTATACTGAAGCGCACATCATTCACACCCATCTCAGGCCGAGCTGTTTCAATTTGTCCGACGAGAGGCGCAACGAGCGGTAGTATCTGAAAAAAAGATGTAAATCTCTGTAGACAATAGGGTTTTGTAGGCGAGTGCCTTTTACAGAAATTCGAAAACACAATCGAAAGTTCCCTTACTTCTTTCCACCCTCGATCTCGATCTCGTCACCCTCATCCCTCGCTGAACGGACTGGAAATTAGCCAATTAGGTAGCTCTTAATCTCAATAATAATTCTTGTAATAGCTTCTTAGCGCAGTCGACCCTTTAGAACTTTTGTTAAGCTTACAAAATGGTATCTGAAGTTGTGCTTCTTTGATCGCTTGCGTTTCTCCTTCGATCTCCCTCTTCAACCGTTTGTTGTTGTTTCTGTTTGCTTTTGGCAGCAATCGAGATCGCCGCAGCCACCGTCTCTTGCGTTGGTGTCTAAAAATTTTGTGTTTTGTGCTTTGTGCTTTAGATCTTAACTATTTTAATATCATGACATCTTAGTAAAATTTTTAAAATATTATCGTTGTTTTACCTTATCGCAAATATCATTGTCGCTGCTTGCGCCACTCCCGATCACAGTTGGGCTACTCGGCTGAGATGGTCCGCCAGAAGATCCATGTCCACTATCCGGATAAGTGAGGCTAAAGCAAAAATTGATTGAAGCTATTGAATTGGATTAAATTTTCACAAAATCTACTCACCTAATCGGTGCACTTTTTCCCAAATACTTCTCAATTTGGACGGGATCATTGGCGGCCCCTTTCCCAACGAGATCATCCAAGTAAATCCCGGTTCTTCTTCGGTTTTTCTTTTTCTCGGCTTTCAGTCGGCTTTGCTGGCGATGAGGCAGGGCTTCGACCTCTCCACGACCATCTGTAAATGAAGCATTATGAAACTCTAAACAAGCTGAGCTCAGAAAATTTCCACATCTTAACTTCCAAGACTGGTCGAGTATTTTAGTTAGCCTCACGTCCACTCACCCAGACCACCAAGGAAGACGATGACGATCGCTCCTTTGGCTTCTCTTGTTCCCCTTCTTTTGTTCTTTTGCTCGTTTCTCTTGATCTTCACGTGTCTCCGGGAGTTGACCCCATTGCCAATCAGTCACATCAGACGCTTGCTAAAAAGAAAAATTTTTCAAGTTGCCAAATAAAATTCTAGACTAAGCCACGAAAAGATAGGTTTCGAGGATTTGCAAAGAATTTTAGAAAGAACCGGAAATAAACTAAAATTGTTAGTTGATCTAGCTATAGTGCTGACATAGCTTGTCTATTGAAATAAAGTTTTCAAGCGTTTCAAACTACACATTTAAACTAAAGTTTCATGAGTTTGTGCTAGACGAGAAACGTCTTCACGATTGATTTCTTGGCAAGCTTTTATCGTTAGCACATCTAGTTTGTTCCCTTCCCGATGAACCAACCTTCTTGATATATCGTCCCCTTAGCGGGCGTAGTCTAGCCATCTAATGGTATGCTATTTACCCCAAATTTTCCCACAACTCACCGGTCTAGGTTGATCACGGCGATTGTGTCGATCGACCTCTCGAATCAGATAGACATCCATCAGCCAGCGCATCCACATCAGTTCCGTCAACCAACGATCCAGATGGAGAGGAGAGTGTCGACGAAGAGGCCGTCTCCGATTCAACGTCTCCATCGTGTTCAGTCTCCTAAAACAGGACTTTTAATAGTATTATGCAAATCACTCACAATATGAATCGAGATTGGCTCCGTTGCAAAAGCGACTCGGCTTTTCTTCCTTCGAACCGACGATGGAGCTTCCTTTCGGCCTTGAGCGATTTGAGGAACTCGTCGATTGACATTTTCTAAAAGAAAATGCATAACAGTCAATATTTTCAAAATATTTTCAAACCGGTTCAATCGGTAATCCCTTATTTGACAACGAGCGCTTGTGATTGAACATTGATGAGTGTTGCGAAAATTTCCTAAAAAAAGGATGTCAAATTTATTGAAAAATCTAAACAAACCAACCTTTGTACCGGCGACAAATCGACTTCAACTTTTCCCTTTTTCGCATTATTGTTGAGTGTGATTTGATCGGCTGTATGATCTTCTTCAGTCAAATATCCATGATGTTGGTCAGCTACTGTCGTCAAATCGGGCAGAGACCGATTCCGTCGTTAGTGAGAACACTGAAGAGAGTCGTGGCAGTGCCAATTTGCGCTCCTTTTCCTTCTCGGCGGCTTTTGCCCTAAAAAAAGTAACGTTTTTATGCAGTTGAAGTAACTTTTCTTTGTTGTATGATATTAAGAAACCAGACGAACACGTCTAACTTATAGCTTATTGTATCTCAATTAAGTTTTTGATCATGCTAATCTACTCACTCATTTACGTTTCCAATTTGACAACTTTCAGCACTTGTCTACAACTCTTTTCCCGCCACTTCTAAATGCAAGAATAATCAATACCTATGCATAGTAGCCGGGAAAAGTGTCACACGCCACACTGTCACACTATTTTACGCCTTCCACAACTACTTACTCCTTCTGTGCCCATGTTTCTTGTGTTGATTTGGTCGGTGGCGGTGTTGGTGATCGACTCTCCGACACATCGCTGCCCTCGCTCAACAATCGAGTCTAAAATTTGAAAGATTAGATATGCAACTTGTCAAATTTACAAGATTTTCCATTGAAATCTTAGCAGACACACCTTTGGGTCATAGCTTCGCTTGTGCTCCTCCAATTTCCTCGCCGATTCGTTGAGAATTTGATCGGTGTCCACTTGTTGAGTCGTTTTCGCTTCAACGCCCTCTGGGAGTGGAGACGTGGCCAAGTAGTCGGGTACCTAAATAAAATCGCATTGTTTAGCTAAATACATAATAAATTGTATTCATTCCAATTGTACCTTATCCTCAGTCTCCTCAACAAAGAAAGCGACACCGTTCTGTCCCAATTTCATCTTTAAATCGATCTCCTCGCCGTTGATCGTGATGTCCACGTACTGAAAAGGAACAAAATTTATTTAACTACTCTATTGATGATACAAATCTAGCTATGCTTAATCATCCTAGTTAACAAACCTTTTCCGTGTGTGAGAAGACGCCATACTTGCCAAATCTCACGTGAAACGGAGTCGATTTGAGTGTGCCATCTGGTTGTTCCACGACCACCACGTCAATGGCTCCTAAAAGAAGAGAAATTGTTCATGATATTCAACGAGTAAAGTTACTTAAAAATCTTCGTTTTCTAACAAGTTTAACGACCATCAGCTTTGAAATTTAGCTAATTTCAAGTTGGCAAGCAATATTTGAAGTAGAATTAAGTTTTTCACAGCCCATCAACGAGTTTTTTCTTTACTCGACATAAAAACACACCTGATAATGTGGCCGGGTTGATCGTATTGTAGAAATAGCGAATATTGTTCACCACCCGATAGGCGTAATCCATTTTTGCGCGTTGATGTGACGAAACAAGACGATGAAGTAGTTGAAATGAAGAAAGTCACCTGAATTTGAAAAAGTTAGAGAATTTAAAGCTATTAACACAGTGTAAAGACGGCTATTGACTAAAATTTAGCTTTACAAAGCAAAAGTTAGCTTTCGGTTGCGTTTTAAAGCTTTTAAAACGGTAAATGAACCAAAAGCCAGCTGTAAAAAGCATCTCAACTAACCAAATAAGTTATTTTAACGTTTTTAACGTTTAAAACGTTTAAAACGCTTTAAACAATTGAATTAGCATTTCTGACAACAATTTAGGCGAAAATGGACTTTTGTTATCAATAAAGCTAGTTTAACGTTTAAAATACTCACCCGTTAATAAAAAAGACCCAGCAATCGTCAGTGAGAGACCCGTCTCAATGGGTGATGAAAGCCACCTTCTTCGCGTGTAGAAATCTTTCTGGAATCAAAAAAAGTATAGCAATGTAAATAAGAGTCAAGAAATTGAGTAGAATGAGCAAAAAACAACAAATTCACTGAATAGTTGCTTTAAAATACCGAATAATTGCTTCAGATCAACCTAAAATGATTGACAAAAACGTTTTAGAATGATTTTAAACAGCTCTGGAATAGTTTTTTATCATTTTTAAAAGTATTACAAGATGAAAACAGATCGTGCAAGGTTTTGATGTGATTTTATAATAGACTCGAAGAGATTTAGCAAGATTTTGATATGGTTTTTGGTAAAAATCACATCAAAACAGCTTGGTTGACGAACAAAAACATGAATCTTATCGTTTCTAAAAATAAAATAAGAGTTTTCGGGCCGTTTACTTAAAAATTTGTGATGAAATCGTGAAAAAGGACAAGCTTCGTCACCAAGATACAAAGAAAAATTGATCGGGTAACGTCGGAAACGGGTTTTTGCGATTTTTGAAATCAACAAAATTTTGAAATTAAGCTCTTGACCTCAAAAATATTAGAGGAAAATGAAAAGGCGCGCCAAAAAAGTTACAGATCACTGAATGCAAAAATTAAATTGATTTTTCTATCGACTGCTTTCCAGATTGCACAAATCTGAAGCAAAAATTGGATGAAATTGGATGAAATTGAATGAAATTAGTCAAAAATCCAAGAATTCGATGAATATTGACTTTATTGAATGCAGAATTTCGCTTAAATGTAAAGGCTGAAGAGCTAAAGCTGAAGCTGAAGAGCTAAAGCTGAAGAGCTAAAGCTAAACAAGTTAGCTGAAACTTTTCCGATATTCCTTCGGCTGCATTCCTGCAAATTCAACGAAGAAATTAAAGAACTGGTTAGAAATTTGACGGGTATCGGGCATCGAAAGAAAAGAAAGATGTCGGAAGTGCGCGCAAATAACGTGCACAAATGCCCGTCTTTCTTTGTGAAAGGGTTGGGTTGGGGGGCAAAGAACGTCCAGGGTTAGTTGGAGGGAAATATTGTGGAATTGCGAGAGGTTTAGACAGGGGAGAGGCCGTGGGCGGCCGAGCGGTCATCGACTATATAGTGAGGCAAAAAGAGACGGAGATGCTACACCCCGCAATTCTCTTTCTCTAGACACCCAATCGATTCTGCAGCAAATAAATAAACAAAAGTGCAAAGCGTCAAGGATATTTTCCAGTCATAAGGCCTTGTTTTACCATAAAAACAATCCTCTCACCATAGAAACAATCCTTTTTTTACTAGAAATTGCAACACTTGCCCTGTTAAGTAGAAACAATCCTTTGTTTTCTAAACATTGCGATACTTGCCCTGTAAAGTGCGCTCCAGATTGGAGAAAAAGTGAGATTTGATTGAATAATATTAACCATAAGCATATAAAATAGTCGATTGAAGTCATCATGCTTAAGAGTCCAATCGAACTTTGCACTTATCAGACTCCCTTTTCCTGTTAAAGTGTAAAGTGCGCTCCAGATTGGAGAAAACATGAGATTTGATTGGACAATATTAATCATAAGCATATAAAACAGTCGATTGAAGTCATCATGCTTAAGAGTCCAATAGAACTTTGCACTTATCAGACTCCCTTTTCCTGTTAAAGTGTAAAGTGCGCTCCAGATTGAAGAAAAAGTGAGATTCTATTGGATAATATTAACCTTAACCATATAAAACAGTCAACCGAACCCATCATACTATAATGTCCAATCGAACTTTGCACTTATCAGACTCCCTTTTCCTGCTAAAGTGTAAAGTGCGCTCCAGATCAAAGAAAAATTGAGATCCTATTGGACAATATTGGTTTTTTTTGACAAAGAACACATCTTAAACTCACTTTGAATCGAAAACCTAATGTTTTCACCGAAAATTTTCAACAGATCACAAAACGATAACGATAACGATAAGGAGCAGCTAACAGAAAACGAAAATCCGTCGGCCATATGGCGTGAACGGTTTTTCTAAACAATTTCTCCCATCTTTTTTTTGGTTCTGCTTATCACATTTCGACCTTTTCCCCAATTCGCACACACGCCACCAAGTGTATACAATTTTCTTTTTTTTGCTGAAAAAAATGAACGAAACGAATGAAACGAAGTACGAAATCGTTGAAAAAGGAAATATCCAAGGTAAGGGTAAACAAGTGACAAAATAAAATAATCATATCATAATAAAATCATAAAATCTGGATCATCTACCGTAATCAAAACTTTATCAAGTAGATTTTGATACGATTTTTGTAGGTAATTGAAATTTTCAAAAAATCAAATCTCTAAGCTGGAGTGCACCCTTGGAGGAGTTGAGCTTAAAAGCTGTGAAAGTTGGATTAGACAAGACTTGATAACTTGACCTGACAAAACTTGACCACAAAATTCACGACTATTGCGTTGAATTTAAAAACTTTTTTAAAGAATCGTCGAATTGGATGTCACGGGTGAAAATGTGAAAATGTGACACTTGTTACAATGGCTGGGAAGTTTTCAGTCATCGAGGGGGGAGGGAAAGGGTGGAGCCAAGGCTGGAGCCAAGGCTGGTAGACAATAACACACAAAAAAGGAATAAGGGGTTGAAAGGGGAAAAATGGAAACAAGACAAGGACAAGTTTTTACGGTGAATGGGCTTTTATATAGAAGTTTTATATAGACGAGAATCTCAGAAAATCTCAAAAATTCGTAAATTTACATGAAATAATATTGAACAACGAGTTGAACTCAATAAAAGCTGTAAAACTTAAAATCTATTGATTTCGAGAAAAGAGATGACAATTCTGGATGTCACAGAAAAAGTTGATCCTTTCAATTTTGAGAAAATTCTAGAATTTACATGAAATCTTATTGGAAAACGAGTTGAACTCAATAAAAGCTGTAAAATTTAAAATCTATTGATTTCGAGAAAAGAGATGACAATCCTGGATGTCACAGAAAAAGTTGATCCTTTCAATTTTGAGAAAATTCTAATGTCTAATGAAAATTCTAATTTTCTGATGTGCAGTTGAAAATCCACTAATGCCAGCTTCAAAGAAGAAAAACTGGCTAGCAATCATTTTTTTGAGATTGTTGAAAGAAAGAGGGAGGATCGGGTGATCCGCGTGAAATTGGGAGAAAGAGCGGATGTGAAAGAGACGAAAGAGAAGTGGGGGAGAGGTTGATCAGGCCATTCAACGAGTACAGAGCGAAATCTATGCCAATTCGCTAACCAGTTTCGAATTTTACTTTCAATTCCTCCAAACTGGATGTCATGCAAAGTTTTGAGGCAAAAATGCACTGTCTAGGCTGACTCTAGAGCTAGCGCTGCTGACCAAAACGCTAATTTGATCAAAATTTAAAAATTTTTTAAATCTTGATAGTAATTCTTGCAAACTGGATGTCATGCTATTTTCTGAGACAAAAATAAATTGCCTAGATTGCAGGGAAAATTTGGCGGGAAAAGGTGGACATGTGGAGACATTTCAAAGACGATAAATTTTGTCAACAACGAACAGAGCTCTCGGTGGATGGCACATTGCCGAGATCAAACCCCAGACACACTTTTAATCTCTCGAAATTTCCGAGGGAAGAGAAAAGGGATGAAATGGCGTGGTTAGGGGCTGACTGGGTGAGGGGGGAATCACGTGGGGGTTCGCCGCTCCTCCCCTTCCTTTCACCGCTTCCCTGTTCATCTCGATTCCTCAATTATCCATTTTTTTCTCAATCCTGGAACGCACGAAACATTTTTAAGCAAAAAAAGTGAGATAGGTGAAAGTTTTTGATTGAAGAGATAGCGAAGGAAGTGCTCGAAGTTTGCTTTGTCTTCCGGGTTACCTATAGAACTAATTTCTAAATTTTTGCCAATCCTGGAAAGCATGTAACTCATAGGTTTGCTGAAGATGAAGTGGTGAGATCAGAATCAGAATTTGGGTTAGGAGGTGAAGTAGTGCGGATCTGCTCATGGCTCTATTGCGCTTCTCAGCTTCGTTCTAACCAAAATTTTCAAATTTTTGCCAATCCTGGAAGGCATGTAACTCATACGCTTGCTGAAGATGAAGTGGTGAGCACAGAATCAGAATTTGGGTTAGGAGGTGAAGTAGTGCGGATCTGCTCATGGCTCTATTGCGCTTCTCAGCTTCCTTTTAACCAAAATTTTCGAATTTTGCCAATCCTGGAAGGCATTCAATCCAGAAACGCTATTCTGACTCCTAGAATTCTAAAAAAAAATTTGAGGTGATTTGAGATCACGTGGCGGTGGCTTCTATTCACCCGTTTCCTTCTTTCACCCTTTTAATCTTATCCCTTTTTCTCTTTTCCACTCTTTGCATGAATCTCTCGCTTGCAATACATCACGCCATGTGCTCTCAATTGAAAAAAGTGAAAAGAAAAATGAAGAAAATGAACAAAAAAGAACAAAAAAGAATAAAAACTAAACTCTATCGAAAAATCGGGATCACATCAATTTTTTTTGGCACAGAATTTTAAAATTTTAATTTCTCAAAAAGAAATGAGCGATCTGGGTGGCACAGTGAAAAAATTTGATCTTAGTTTTTTGAAAAAACAAAATTTAGATTTAAAAGATATTCAGCTAAGATATTGAAAGCTTTCAACTAAAAGATATTTAGTTAAAGGCTTTTCAAGTAAAAGATATTCAGCTAAGGGCTCCTCAACTAAAAGATATTCAGCTAAATGACTCTGTAGTCTTTTAAATGTAAATTTAAATATAAATCTATATGTAAACCTTAAATCCTACTTTTAAATACAAATTTCTTGATTTCTAGCGATCAATTTGTAGAGAAATCAAAGAAAACTCGAGACTCGGACCTTTTTTAATGTTTTTATGAAAGAAATTTGAGTCCCAAAGCCTCCGACCAGATCATGACACTTGAGATATTTGAACCTAAGAAAAATCGCAGCAAATAACTAAAAAAATAAGGAAATTTTTACGAATTCTTTCATCCTGGAACGCACGAGACCTTTAGAAAGCGAAATTTTACGCAAAAATGACAAATGACAAAAGTTGGCCAGTCAACTACCGTAGTCAGCTTTGACCAATGTCTGAAATTTTTTCAAAGTTGTCAAATCTTAGAAAAAACTTTAACAAATGGTTAAATGCCTTCCAGGATCACGCAATTTTCAAATGAAATCAAAATCTGATTGCTCAGAGTTGCGTAATTAAACCGAACTCGATCAACTTGAACCAGTCGATCAATCCAGACTTTTGCTTTGGATTGATTGGCTTCCAAAGACAAAAAGTTTGTCTGTCTATTTTTTTTGCCATCTAGATTCATTAGAAAATTGATTAAAATAAAAATTCGATAAAGATCAAAGACTAAACTCTCATGGAAACCAAAATTATTTCAAAGTCGTGGAATTTTGAGCCTCGTGGTTTCTCCCATGTGACCAGGGAAAAGGGAAAAAACGTACGATCTAGTTCCTTTTTTTTTGCGGCTGGCCATTTTCCCTTTTGGCAACCCCCCTCAATTCTGTGTGTCTGCCTCAAGTGTCTGAACGTTTCCCAATGCTCGATCTCTATCCACCCAACTCTACCCGGTCGTCTAGCCCGCTTCAAAGTGTCGAAAATCTGAAAAGTAGAATTTTTTGAGGCTATCTGGAGGGCACACTAGCATTTAAAGGGATTTGGAAAAAGGAAGGTGATCATTTTCAAAACTTCAAAACAGCGATACTTTGACTCAACAACTATTGCGCTTAAAATTAACTAAAGTCTAAGGATATGAATTTTTTCTGGCAAGCTGGACAGATTCGAAAATAAAATGATTTGTAGAGTAAAATCTAGACATAGGAAAAAAATCCATTTTACCATCCAAATCTGTTGCTCTAGCTATTTTGCTTCAAAATGGTTAAAATTTAAAAAAGCTCAACTTTTTTTGGCTAATTGGAGCGCACATTAGAAAATAAAATGATTTGTAGAGTAAAATCTAGAGATATCAAAAAATTCATTTTACCATCCAAATCTGTTGCTTTATCAATCTTGCTTCAAAATGGTTAAAATTTAAGGAAATGAACTTGTTCAGGCAAGCTGGAGTACAGATTAGAAAATAAAGTTCTTTGTAGAATAAAATCTATCCATATCAAAAAATCCATTTTACCATCCAAATCTGTTGCTCTAGCTATTTTGCTTCAAAATGGTTAAAATTTAAAAAAGCTCAACTTTTTTTGGCTAATTGGAGCGCACATTAGTAATTAAAATGATTAAAATAAAAAAAAACACAAAAATTTGAAAAACGATTACAGTTGAAAGACGGCTACAGTAGTTTTTTCTGGAGGACACTTTTTAAGAAACAAGCTTCAAGTAAGAGTTGATTACTTTTTTTTTTATATTTATGGAAAGCACACTTTAACTCAACAATGTTTTCTCGATTTTCTCTCAATCTTCCCTCAATTTTCTCTTTTCACCAAACCACGTGCTGGGGAAAGCCCCGTTTTTCAAAAAAAAGCTTTTGAAAAAGCGCTCATCAAATGTTACGATTCTCTTTGTCCGAGAGTTTCCTCAACGTTTCCCATTTCGCACATCAGCATCCGCACATCAAATAAACCAAGATCAAACATGCAATTGCTTTTGTGAGATGACTGGAAATTGTGGGATGACAGAAAATTAATGAAATCTAATTGTTAACAACATAAAAAAAAGGATTTACATCTGTTTATAAAGACTTTTTTTTTTGATTCTGTCAAAGAATTTATGTTTATTGCCTTGCTTGTTTAACTTGTTTAACTTGTTTAATTTGTTTAATTTGTTTAACACATAAGTAAAGAACTGGAAAATTCAAAATCGAGAACAACAACAAGAATTCAAAATCGACAAAATCTTCAATCAAATAAAAATTGAATTTTTAAGGAATTTGCATAGAGAATACTCGAGAAATAACCCGTTTAAATGGGAATTGGTGGGGATTGGGGGGAGTTCGTGGGGATTGGGGGGAGTTCGTGGGGATTGGGGGGAGTTCGTGGGGATTGGGGGGAGTTCGTGGGGATTGGGGGGAGTTCGTGGGGATTGGGGGGAGTTCGTGGGGATTGGGGGGAGTTCGTGGGGATTGAGGGGGATTGATTGGAATTGATTGGAATTGAAGGAAGTTGGTGGGGATTGAGGGAAATTGATTAGAATTGAGGGGAATTGATTGGAATTGATTGGAATTGAGGGGAATTGAGGGGAATTGATTGGAATTATGGAAAAAAAGTATTCAATTTCCCCCACACAGCTACAAATACATAGGATTTGTGTCAAGGAAAAGAAAAACGGGAAAAATCATGTTAAAAGCGTTGATTCATCGCTTTCTTGTGAGCACGAGGAGCGGGAACTGGATGAATCGTCGAAGCGCACCCCCAACAACATCTCCAACTCCACCACACAACTGTTCGGGTCAACGGGATTCACCTAGAATTTCAAGGCTCCGGGAATCGAAGTAAAATCCATTCTTGCATCCTAATTAACTAACATGACATCCAGGATTAACAAATCAGAATGAATTTTTTGAAAACATTGAACAAGATGCAGATTTAAGGTTGAGTGAATGATCTCGACCCTTTCAAAAGCTTTAATTCAGTGAGTTCAGTGATTTTAGCCAAGCCAAGTATTCAAATCTTTTCTAAACTCTTACCAGCATCGTTTGCCATCCAATTTTCTTCGCAGCCTCAAGATTTTCCGGTTGATCATCTAAAAAGAGGCAATCCGATGGGAGAACGCCGAGCGCCTCGAAGCGTTGCAAGCAGATCTAAGAATTCGAATGGTTTAAATAATGCAAAAGTTGTTGTGACATCCAGGATTCACTTTGGATTAGTTCACAATTCCCAAATTTCAGTTCTCACCTCGAAAATTCGCTCCTCTGGTTTCCGCGTGCCTTCAACAGCCGACTCGACAACTACGTCAAACAGCGATTCGTCAATCGGCGTCCGTCGGAGTTTTCTTTCCTAAATTTTGTTTTAAAAACGAAAAGAAATAATAGAAACTTTATCTAAATAGCAATTATTTGTGAGTAGACCAGTGAGAAAGCCAAGAGCGGGCAGTTGCCGGAGAGCTGAGATCATTCCCTCGGCCTGGAATCTGTATCTTGTTCAATGTTTTCAAAAAATTCATCCTAATTTGTTTATCCTGGATATCACGTTAGCTAAAAAGCTAAAAAGGATCTAAGATTTGTAATTTCTTAGAGCCAAGAGTTGTCGGACAGCTGAGATCATTCGCTCAGCCTGGAATCTGTCTCTTGTTCAATGTTTTCAAAAAATAGCTTCTAATTTGTTTATTCTGGATGTCATGTCAGCTAAAAAAGCTAAAAGGATCTAAGATTTGTAATTTCTTAGAGCCAAGAGCGGGGAGTTGCCGGAGAGCTGAGATCATTCGCTCAGCCTAGAATTTGCATCTTGTTCAATGTTTTCAAAAAATTCATCCTAATTTGCTAATCCTGGATATCATGTTAGCTAAAAAAGGGGTTTAAGATTTGTAATTCTTAGAGCCAAGAGTTGTCGGAGAGCTGAGATCATTCCCTCAGCCTGGAATCTGTATCTTGTTCAATGTTTTCAAAAAATTCATCCTAATTTGTTTATCCTGGATATCATGTTAGCTAAAAAAGGGTTTAAGATTTCTAATTTCTTAGGGCCAAGAGCGGGCAGTTGCCGGAGAGCTGAGATCATTCGCTCAGCCTGGAATCTGCATCTTATTCAATGTTTTCAAAAAATTGCTTCTAATTTGCTAATCCTGGATATCATGTTAGCTAAAAAGCTAAAAAGGATCTAAGATTTGTAATTTCTTACATATTGTTGATGCTTCTCATCACCCATCCATGTGCTAACGAATGGCACCGGGCATTGCATTGGGCAGCCTTTCTAAAATCAGAAAATTTTAGCTGATAAGCTTCGTTGAGCTTTAATTTCACATAACTAGAATAACTTTCTTCTCCTTCTTTCTTCTTCTTCTTTCTTCTTCTTCTAACTTCTAAAAGACTAACTTTAATATTCAAAGTTTACCTGAACGGAAAGCCTTGGGATGTAGATATTCTCCAATTCATCGCACGTGTATTCCCCCTAGAATAAACAGACATTTTTTTTTCTTTGAGTCAAGCTAGAGCTTCTTTTTCTATTAATCTAAAGCTTTGTCAAGGTTTGACAAGGTTTGTTTTAAGATCAATAGATTTAATTGAAAATTGAAAACAAAGCTTTGTGGCTTAAAGGCTTAGGCTCAGGCTCAGACCAGGCTTAGACTCAGGCTTGGGTTTAGACTCAGGCTTAGGCTTAGGCTCAGGCTCAGACCAGGCTTAGACTCAGGCTTAGGTTTAGACTCAGGCTTAGGCTTAGGCTTAGGCTAGGCTTAGGCTTAGGCTTAGGCTTAGGCTTGGACTTAGTGCGAAGGCTAGCGCCTAGCGCCTCGGCTCTACTAATGCTTGACTGGATTTTGACTGCTCAGCACATCTATAGTTCCCCATCTTTCTGTTTTCCTAAGCTTTCTAAGCTTTTCTACTTTTCAAAACTTTTCTCTACCCCATTCTTGGCACAATAATTTCATTATAAACATTATAAAGATTCATTATAAACAAGTTCGGATGCTCTTTTCTTATTTCCCCGTAAACGATTGCTCATCAAGGTCACCAAATCACGTCATTTTTCGATCTCAATCGAATTTTTCTTTTTCACTTTTTCAATGTCACAACTAACAACGGAGCATCGAGATCGAAATCTCAACTTTTGCCAAATTTTCATTTCCAACACCACCAATTTTCCCTTAAAACTATGATAATTCACAAAATTAGCCAAAAAAAAGAATGCCCGACTCACCCTAAAAAGATCGAGGCCTGTCTCGTCGCTAACATGCTGCAAAACGGCTTGCTTCAGCAGACACTCTTGCACGAATGCCCAATCGACGCCGTGTCGTTGCGCTAAATCTGAAATCGAGTTTTTGTTTTGAATAAATTAGTTAATCCTGGAAGGCACGCTAGAATTTTAAAATAAAAAAATTGCCTTTAAAGCAGCGGGTCGCTCCCTGGTATGTCATCAGTACGCCACCGTAGTCGAAAATCACTGCCTTTATCGGCATTCTGTGAATTAAAGTTGTAATTTGTAGTTTCTGGAAGTCACAAAGGAAAATGAAATGATCAATGACTACAGAAAACGAGTTTTGAAAAATCAAAAAATCCTCGAATGAGATCGAAGCGATAGAGGGAAGACCAACGCTTAAAATGAGTTTTTAAGAAAATATTCGTTAATCCTGGAACGCACGCTAGACTTTTAAGACAAAAAAACTGCCTTTAAAGCAGCGGGTCGCTCCCTGGTATGTCATTAGTACGCCACCGTAGTCGAAAATCACTGCCTTTATCGGCATTCTGTGGATTAAAGTTGTAATTTGTAGTTTCTGGAAGTCACAAAGGAAAATGAAATGATCAATGACTACAGAAAACGATCGAGAAAATGAATCATAAAAATCCTCGAATGAGATCGAAGTGATAGAGTCAACACCAATGCTTAAAATGGGTTTCTAAGAAAATATTCGTTAATCCTGGAGCTCACGAAGGTAGTTTTTCTTTAAATAAACATGTTTTAGTCACAAAATCGAGTGATGGATGAAGGAGTCGTTATGGAAATATGGAAATATGGAAATATGGCAGAATCGTTGAGATGGATTTGAAAGGAAACGATAAAACGGCAACAGAGATCATATTTTTGCTTGAGGAGGACCGGTGATCGGATTTTTCGGTGTCACCTCAGCCGTCTCACCTCTCGGGGATTCCCGCAAGGGGATTCCCGGAGATTTAGCACCTAGGCGAGCCGAAGCACAAACACCATTTGAACAAAAGGGAAAATCTAACCAAATTAAGAGGCTATTGATTTAAAAGTGTAAAATTTGTCGTTTCTGGAATGCACCCAACAATCTGGGAGTGCTGTGGGATTGTCAGCGTCTGAAAAATAGCTGCCTGATATGTTTGAAACGAGTACGAGGGAAAATAAAGCCAAATTTAGAGGTTTGGACATTTAAAAACAAAAAAGAAATTCAATTCTGGAAGGCACAGAAGACTTTTAGACTGAAGTTTCTGAAAAACGAGCTCTCTGGAAAAGATAGTCGGGTCAAAATCAAGTAGAAGAGAAAATCTGCTAAAGCAGGAAAGCTATCTATTCAAAAATGCAAAAATCATAAAAGCTGGATGTCAGGAAAGAGTATTATATCAGAAATTTGCATAAAATAAAGCTTCTTTTTTATTGGGTTTTTTGTTGGGTTTTTTGTTGGGTTTTTTGTTGGGTTTTTTGTTGGTTGTTGTACGCTGTCACTCCGAGGACCGTTTTGGACCGTTTTGGTCATCGTTTTGGACAGCAGAAATCATTTGAATGGTGATAATGGGAAGGAAAAAAGCAAATGAAGAGCAGAAGAGCAAGATGAGGTATTTCTTTTTCTTTGGAGAGGAAGAAGCAGAAGCATTCATTGAAACAAAGAAAAAGCTGATAGGGATGATTGATTTGATCTAAATTTTATCGAATCATAGCTTCGAAGATTTTGGGAATGAAATTTAAGTAGAGGGGAAAACGATGAAGAAATGAAGAATGAAGAATGAAGAATGAAGAAGTGAAGAAGTGAAGCAGTGAAGAATGAAGAATGAAGAAGTGAAGAAGTGAAGGAGTGAAGAATGAAGAATGAAGAAGTGAAGAAGTGAAGGAGTGAAGAATGAAGAATGAAGAAGTGAAGGAGTGAAGAATGAAGAATGAAGAAGTGAAGAAGTGAAGGAGTGAAGAATGAAGAATGAAGAATGAAGAAGTGAAGAAGTGAAGGAGTGAAGAATGAAGAATGAAGAAGTGAAGGAGTGAAGAATGAAGAATGAAGAAGTGAAGAAGTGAAGGAGTGAAGAATGAAGAATGAAGAAGTGAAGGAGTGAAGAATGAAGAATGAAGAAGTGAAGAAGTGAAGGAGTGAAGAATGAAGAATGAAGAATGAAGAAGTGAAGAAGTGAAGGAGTGAAGAATGAAGAATGAAGAATGAAGAAGTGAAGAAGTGAAGGAGTGAAGAATGAAGAATGAAGAAGTGAAGGAGTGAAGAATGAAGAATGAAGAAGTGAAGAAGTGAAGGAGTGAAGGAGTGAAGAATGAAGAATGAAGAAGTGAAGAAGTGAAGGAGTGAAGAATGAAGAATGAAGAAGTGAAGGGAGTGAAGAATGAAGAATGAAGAAGTGAAGAAGTGAAGGAGTGAAGAATGAAGAATGAAGAATGAAGAAGTGAAGAAGTGAAGGAGTGAAGAATGAAGAATGAAGAAGTGAAGGAGTGAAGAATGAAGAATGAAGAAGTGAAGAAGTGAAGGAGTGAAGAATGAAGAATGAAGAAGTGAAGGAGTGAAGAATGAAGAATGAAGAAGTGAAGAAGTGAAGGAGTGAAGAATGAAGAATGAGAAGAATGAAGAAGTGAAGAAGTGAAGGGAGTGAAGAATGAAGAATGAAGAAGTGAAGGAGTGAAGAATGAAGAATGAAGAAGTGAAGAAGTGAAGGAGTGAAGAATGAAGAATGAAGAATGAAGAAGTGAAGAAGTGAAGGAGTGAAGAATGAAGAATGAAGAAGTGAAGAAGTGAAGGAGTGAAGAATGAAGAATGAAGAAGTGAAGGAGTGAAGAATGAAGAATGAAGAAGTGAAGAAGTGAAGGGAGTGAAGAATGAAGAATGAAGAATGAAGAAGTGAAGAAGTGAAGGAGTGAAGAATGAAGAATGAAGAATGAAGAAGTGAAGAAGTGAAGGAGTGAAGAATGAAGAATGAAGAAGTGAAGGAGTGAAGGAGTTGAAGAATGAAGAAGTGAAGAAGTGAAGGAGTGAAGAATGAAGAATGAAGAAGTGAAGAAGTGAAGGAGTGAAGAATGAAGAATGAAGAATGAAGAAGTGAAGAATGAAGAATGAAGAAGTGAAGAAGTGAAGGAGTGAAGAATGAAGAATGAAGAATGAAGAAGTGAAGAAGTGAAGGAGTGAAGAATGAAGAATGAAGAATGAAGAAGTGAAGAAGTGGAAGGAGTGAAGAATGAAGAATGAAGAAGTGAAGGAGTGAAGAATGAAGAATGAAGAAGTGAAGAAGTGAAGGAGTGAAGAATGAAGAATGAAGAATGAAGAAGTGAAGAAGTGAAGGAGTGAAGAATGAAGAATGAAGAATGAAGAAGTGAAGAAGTGAAGGAGTGAAGAAGAATGAAGAATGAAGAAGTGAAGGAGTGAAGAATGAAGAATGAAGAAGTGAAGAAGTGAAGGAGTGAAGAATGAAGAATGAAGAAGTGAAGAAGTGAAGGAGTGAAGAATGAAGAATGAAGAAGTGAAGAAGTGAAGGAGTGAAGAATGAAGAATGAAGAAGTGAAGAAGTGAAGGAGTGAAGAATGAAGAATGAAGAATGAAGAAGTGAAGAAGTGAAGGGAGTGAAGAATGAAGAATGAAGAATGAAGAAGTGAAGAAGTGAAGGAGTGAAGAATGAAGAATGAAGAAGTGAAGGAGTGAAGAATGAAGAATGGAAGAAGTGAAGAAGTGAAGGAGTGAAGAATGAAGAATGAAGAAGTGAAGAAGTGAAGGAGTGAAGAATGAAGAATGAAGAATGAAGAAGTGAAGAATGAAGAATGAAGAAGTGAAGAAGTGAAGGAGTGAAGAATGAAGAATGAAGAATGAAGAAGTGAAGAAGTGAAGGGAGTGAAGAATGAAGAATGAAGAATGAAGAAGTGAAGAAGTGAAGGAGTGAAGAATGAAGAATGAAGAATGAAGAAGTGAAGAAGTGAAGGAGTGAAGAATGAAGAATGAAGAAGTGAAGGAGTGAAGAATGAAGAATGAAGAAGTGAAGAAGTGAAGGAGTGAAGAATGAAGAATGAAGAATGAAGAAGTGAAGAAGTGAAGGAGTGAAGAATGAAGAATGAAGAATGAAGAAGTGAAGAAGTGAAGGAGTGAAGAATGAAGAATGAAGAATGAAGAAGTGAAGAAGTGAAGGGAGTGAAGAATGAAGAATGAAGAATGAAGAAGTGAAGAAGTGAAGGAGTGAAGAATGAAGAATGAAGAATGAAGAAGTGAAGAAGTGAAGGAGTGAAGAATGAAGAATGAAGAATGAAGAAGTGAAGAAGTGAAGGAGTGAAGAAATGAAGAATGAAGAAGTGAAGGAGTGAAGAATGAAGAATGAAGAAGTGAAGAAGTGAAGGAGTGAAGAATGAAGAATGAAGAAGTGAAGGAGTGAAGAATGAAGAATGAAGAAGTGAAGAAGTGAAGGAGTGAAGAATGAAGAATGAAGAATGAAGAAGTGAAGAAGTGAAGGAGTGAAGAATGAAGAATGAAGAATGAAGAAGTGAAGGAGTGAAGAATGAAGAATGAAGAAGTGAAGAAGTGAAGGAGTGAAGAATGAAGAATGAAGAATGAAGAAGTGAAGAAGTGAAGGAGTGAAGAATGAAGAATGAAGAAGTGAAGAATGAAGAAGTGAAGAATGAAGAAGTGAAGAAGTGAAGCAGTGAAGAAGTGAAGAAGTGAAGAAGTGAAGAAGTGAAGAATGAAGAATGAAGAATGAAGAATGAAGAAGTGAAGAAGTGAAGGAGTGAAGAATGAAGAATGAAGAATGAAGAAGTGAAGAAGTGAAGGAGTGAAGAATGAAGAATGAAGAATGAAGAAGTGAAGAAGTGAAGGAGTGAAGAATGAAGAATGAAGAAGTGAAGGAGTGAAGAATGAAGAATGAAGAAGTGAAGAATGAAGAAGTGAAGAATGAAGAAGTGAAGAAGTGAAGAATGAAGAATGAAGAAGTGAAGAAGTGAAGGAGTGAAGAATGAAGAATGAAGAAGTGAAGGAGTGAAGAATGAAGAATGAAGAAGTGAAGAATGAAGAAGTGAAGAATGAAGAAGTGAAGGAGTGAAGAATGAAGAATGAAGAAGTGAAGAATGAAGAAGTGAAGAATGAAGAAGTGAAGAAGTGAAGAATGAAGAATGAAGAATGAAGAATGAAGAAGTGAAGAAGTGAAGCAGTGAAGAAGTGAAGAAGTGAAGAAGTGAAGAAGTGAAGAATGAAGAATGAAGAATGAAGAAGTGAAGAAGTGAAGAAATGAAGCTCTCTGTGATCTCTGTGAAACA